ACATGTATATTTTCCCAGTAGACAGGTTAAGTTTGTAAATGGGCCATGTAGGTCCAAGTTATCATATAGCTCCCATATAACGGTACCTCCCGATATACGGCATTTCCATGATTTTAGCGACATTATTCACCGGAATTATTTTAAATTTGGCATTTGAAGTTCGTAACGGATACTACAGCCTAAGACAGACAATTATCTGTGCAGGTCCACGTCTTCGTGTAGCCCCCACATAACGGTACCCCCCGATATTCGGTATTTTGATGATTTTAGCGACATTGTTTACCGGAATCGTTTCAAATTTGGTATTTGAAGTTCGTAATGGATACTACATCCTAAATCAAAAAATGAGCCATGTAGGTCCACGTCTTCATATAGGCCCCATATAACGTCATCCCCCGATATTCGGCATTTTGATGATTTTAGCGACATTATTTACAGGGATTGTTTCAAATTTCGCATGTGAAGTTCGTAATGGATACTTCAGCCCATGCCAGAAAATTGTCTGTGCAGGTCCACGTCTTCGTATAGCCCCCATATAACGGTACCCCCCATATTCGGTATTTTGACGATTATAGCTACATTATAAACAGATTTTTCTTCAAGTTTCGCATTTAAATATTGTAATAATTTATGACAAAAGTTGCCTATGCAGGCCCACGTCGTCGTATAAGCGTTCGGTATTTTTAAGATTTTAACAGAACTTTTAACGGATTTTATTTTTTGGAAATTGCCAAATTTGTACCAAACGGCCGAACTTACAGCTTTTTTACTTGTTATTTTTTGAAAATGTCCTAATTCCTTTCAAATGGTGGAGGGTATTCAAAGTGCGGCCCGGTTGAACTTACTGATTTTTTTTTGCTTGTTTATTTTAACTTAATCTTATGCCGTTTTTCAAGTCCAGCTATCCTCCGTCGATTCCATCAACAACGACTCCCGCAAATATGTTCCAAAGATATTGAGCATCAATTTCGATATTCGAATATCAAATAAATCGAATCTGTATCGCTTCCTCAACAAATCTAATATTTTTTTCAAATAAAACGGTGTATGGACAAATTAGTTTAGATACCTGTGCTTGCCACCACCTTTAGCTCCCGGCATCCAAGTTGCCATCGAAACCAAAGTTTTGTTTGAAAGAAACAGATTGCAGCAGCAGCAGCAGCTAACATTGCATAACTGGTTCCCCTATGATTGCCTTGTAAATGTTTGCTCCTTCGTTCGTTTGTTATCCCCACGGGTGGAGCGATGGAACCTATTCGCCGTGTTGTATTGTATTTCCATTGCATGTCCTTTTTGTCGCCATAGTCGTGATGCGTTTTCGCTCGTTTGCCATTTTGGTTGGCTGTTGTTGTTCTGTTCTGCTGTTGTAAAGATTAACAATGACACTGACATTGTGTGGTCAATTGACATTTATTTCATTGTGGATGACAATCATACATCCACAACAATAACAACAACAACACACAGCATCAACACAAGGCAAAGTAACAATAATAACAATGTCAGTGTATTGGTAGATCCTTTATTTAACATGGCCTTGTGCCTTGTATTTTTTTTGTGACTCTCCTCCGTTGAGTGGCAGTTTGTTAAGAGTTTGAAGTTGTTGTTGTTATTTTTTGTGTGTTTGTTGTTTTATTTTTTCTTAATGCCAACAATACAATCTCTTGACTGCAAATGTATCGCATCTATTGTTATATCTTTTCGTTTATGTTTAGTTGTATTGAAGATTTTTTTCTTCAAAATCTAATAAAGTTACTTTGCCATTTTAAAGTTGCTGTCTTGCATTTGCCGCTGAAGTTTTCCTTTTCCTGTTTTGTTTTCTAAATCCTTAGCTGTGAAATGAAAGCGTCGTCGACTTAAATCGAAGACAAAAAAATTGCTCATTTGTTTGGTCTGAAGAGGGTGAGGAGAAAAAATTATGTAAAATATTTGAGGTGCCCTTTAATAAGTTATGCGCAGTAAAAATTCGAAGTTTTCAATAAAATTTTTTTGTTAAAATGAGACCTCTATGAGAATTGAAATTTATTTTTAATAAGAAGATCTTCTAGTGACCAATATTGTTGCTTATGTGGCAGATCCGTACAAAATCCGCTGCTGTCCCAAAAAGTAGGAATTACCTAGCCAAAAACAGATAGCAGAGTCAGATTCGAGTAGTATTGTTGGAGTCAAAATAGCTGTCGGGGTCGTGAAAAACAAATTCGACTCTTTTATCTTCACGCTGGAGGCAGTTTTTCTGTAATACCAATGTTATTTTTGTAATAAAAAATTAATACAATGAGTCAATATTCAATCCTTTTCTTAATTAACTTGGAGACACGCTCTCGATTTTTAAGCGCCGTTGACAGAAGTTTGAAAATTTTCAAGATTTCTTTGTGGAGCCAAATGGACACAGAGCATAAAATGAAATTGGCCGTATTGACAACGAGTCTATAAGAGTTTTTCAAAAGTATGAGTTATAATTCTCATTAGCTTCGTAAAAGTGGGCATATAGGTGACAGGGAACCCGATTGTCATGCTTCGAAATTTGGCACTGGCAATTCTTTATAAAAATAAGCCTTTCTTATCGTCAAAAAAGGCAGTGAGACTTAGTTAAAGACTAAAAAATTCAGGAAGTCCTATTTACTTATAGGCACGCGGAAACAGAGATCTCTTACAGTGGGGCTAAAAAGCGAAGCATTTCCTGTAAGTGATTAAAGCGGGAAGCCCTCCCTACAGGGAAACTGGAGTGAAGAGCCCTACTTGGTAGATAAGCTGAATCAGTGAGCCTTCCTTGTTATGTAAATTAAGAAGGAGAGAACTGAAACAGGAAAGTCCTTCACAGAAGAGAGCTAAAACAGTGAACCCTCCCCAGAGGCGAGCTGAATAAGAAAGCTCTTCTCAGAGGCGAGCTGATGCACGGTGCCCACCCCAGAGAGAAGCTGAAGCTGTGATCCCTCCTCAGAGACGAGCTGATGCAGGGAGTCCTCTTCAGAATCAGAAAGACTGCCTTTAGAAGCGAGCTGAAGCAGGTACCCCTTTTTTTAGAGGTCAGCTGAAACGGAAAGCCCTCCTCAAAAGCGAGCTGAGACAGTGCGACCAGCTCTTAAGTGGACTGATGCAGCGAGCTGATGCAACTATGAAGGCCTCTTCGGACGCGAGATGAAGCAGGGATCACTTTTAAGAGGCAAACCAAAGAAGAAAATCCTCCTCAGGGAAACTGAAACAATGAGTTCTCCTCAGAGCCGAGTTGAAGCCCAGAGACCAACTTTGAGGTGAGTTGAAACAGAGAACCCTCGTCAGGGGCAACCTAAAACAAAAAGCTCTTTCTAGCGGCGAGCTGAAGTAGGGAGATCTTCCTAGCGGTAGGCTGAAGCAGGAGCCCTCCTTAGATAGTAGCTACAGCAGGAGCCCTCCTGAGGCTATCTAATGCCAAAACCCAAGACAAAAGATAAAATAATAGTCCCAGCCCTCATGCGACAAAGCAGAACAAAGCTGAGTTAGCCATGCCCAAGAACCTCTCGAGAGGAGGTGCTACAGCTCCAGCGGAAGAGTCCACCAAATTTGAAAACTAAAAGACAATAAGTTTGAAAGACCGACTACTTGTCGGTTTGGCATCATAAAACTCTCGACCCAAAAAAAAAAAAAACGACGCAGAACCTTGCAGATAGGGAGGTCGATAGAAGCAGTAAATCTGTGGAAAAAATCAGTAGTCTAACCCACGTGGCAAATACCGCTTCAACGCCTTTGAAGGCTCTCACTAACAAATAAGAAAGCTCAAGGTTCTAACCCCAAGGCTATTCGATCAAAAAACAGAAAATCTCTCAGAAAAAAAGCTTTCAGACCTGATTTTTTTGATTTTTGAAAGTATAAGCAATATTCACACTGGAGAAACATCAGCGAATATTAATCGTGCTAATTTTCTTGTTCAACTCCAGGAATTCCTCGATTTTCGGTGCAGCGGTTTAAGTGATAATTTCACTTTCTGCATCACGTTTTTATGCGAGTAAAAAGGCTATAATCCTGCTGTGAAGCGGCTAATAAAAAATTCGAAAGAAAATGTCTCCGCAACAATTGGGTTAAGCTAAGCCATGCTTTCGGAAACCTCAAAGTTTGAACACAAAAGAAATCAAGCACTAAAACGCCCAAAATAGTGGCCCTAGACCAACAGTCGTTGATGAAACTAACAATCAGAGGACTATCCATAAGGATATCACCTCGATAATTGGTGCTGATGCAACGAAAACGCCATCTACAGGGTATTGCCGTTACCCTTACTGAAGAGGTTGCGATACCTGCTGACAAATGTCGGAGACAATAGGCTGATAAAACTGATTCTGGGCCGGCTTCTATCTCTAAGATACTTGATAACACACTATAGTGAGAGGAAGCACATCCGAATGCAATTAGGAACCTCATAAATCAATTCCTCATTATTGGCAAGAGTGTTCCTTTTCCGCCCATCAGAAGATACTCTTCCAGCTTTCTTCTCAGAGTATTTATCAGATTTAGCTGACAGGTTTATCCTCTGCTTTGACGGTGTATGAGGCTTTTAAAAAAAGTTTCACATCAACCATTCTCAACAATGTTAACCCATAATTTCCTCACCTTCCCCCATAAAAATGTTTCCGTAAATATGCGTGCCTTTTGTGCAAAGTGTTTCTTTTAACATCTGCTTGGAAAATTGCGATTGACCAAAAGCTGTTGTTGCAAGACGAGAGGTAGTAGAAGAAGAGGAAAAAACTAATTCGTAAACGTTTCCATTTTACTGCAGTCCGACGACCATAATAAGATATATCCAAGACAAATAAAAATGGTCATCATTGTTGTTGTAGATTCGGTCTTCATCTTCTTCTATTTCATTTCTGTTTTTTTAGTGGCCATTTCTATAACAAAATAATAGCATCTAATCAAGAAAACTGTCTCTCAAGATTAAAGGGACGATGATTTGGCCAAGGAATGGTGATGAAGGCAGTTAGGAAAACTTTAACCTTAAAATGAGATTTTAAATTTTATGATTTTTTTGCAATGTTTTTTATTGTCTAATAACTAGCTTAATTTAAACTTAAATAAGTATACAATTGTAATTTCTACTATTTAGCAAACCATATGCAATTGATTTAAATAAAATGTCAACATTTCACCACTTGCCCGAAGAACTGTATGCCATCTTTGTTGGTTATCATAAAGAGAAACGGATGACTTATGTCCACAACTTCCGGCGTAATCCTCAGATAAGAATAGGCATTCCAAAATAAAACAGCTGTAAAACGGGGAATAAAATTATATTGTTTTAATAAGAAAATATAATTTAAAATTATACAGAAAGCTGGTCAATAAATAAACTAAAAATTTTTTCTTTCTTAATTGATATTATTATTCATTTAATCACCATATACGTTGTGGAGCATGGGTACTTACTAATTTTTTCGAAATCACCAATTCCATGTTCCTTAAATTTCAGTTTGATGGTCTGCTGTATAGTGTCGTATTCACTAATGTCCTGGTCAGAAATCTAAAATATAAAATAATCCAACTGAAGCAATTAAGGACACAACAATAATTTCATATATATTTTCATATAGTTAATACAGAACCGATCCTTGTCAATAGCATATAGCCAGCACAAATTTGGGAGCTGTATGAGCCGTACATAGTGTATTTAACTACAAAATTACGAGTACAGTACCAGAAGTGAACAATGTAAACAAGTAAAAAACCAGTAAAGAAAGTCCTAAAGTCGGGCGGGGCCGACTTTATGATACCCTACACCACTTTGCTAATTTAGTAGAGCTCCACATAACAATTAAAAGTTTTTATGGGAGAATTCAATCATACACGTTATGATTATAATTATAATTAAAAGTTCAATGGGCTAAATATGCCGAAGCAGTTGTATCTTTTAAATTCGGAATTGTATTGCCCATTTGGTGCACAATTAATTTGAAATCGGATAAAAATATATATGGGAACTATATCCATATCTGAACCGATGTCGATAAAAATTAGCAAAGATATTTCTGAGCTGTATTTGATATATTTCCCTGAATATCGTTGTTACGGAGTGCATATTACGGTTGTAGGTAACAAATATAACAAATCGGATGAATAATATATATGGAAGCTATAGCTATATCTGAACCGATCTTCAACAAATTTGACATACTAGCTTCTAGACTGAATTCGGTCGTAAGTGCCAAATTCCATCCCATTTGGACAAATATTAGACGTTTGGTGCACAATAAAAGGTAAATCGGACGAAGTTATATATGGGAACTATATCCAAATTTGAACCGATCTCGATAAAATTTAGCTAATGTGTTTCTGAGCTGTATTTGCTATATTTCCCCAAATAATAAAAAAAATAACAAATCGGATGAACAATATATATGGGAGCTATAGCTATATCTGAACCGATTTCGATTAAATTTGGCATACATATTTTCAGGCCTAATTTGGCTGTATATGCAAAATTCCATACAATTCGGGCTGATATTACACGTTTAGTGCACAATAAAAAGCAAATCGGACGAAGATATATATGGGAGCTATATCTAAATTTTGACCGATTATCTCCAATTTCAATAGGGTTCGTCCTTGGGCCAAACAAAAGATCTGTGCAAATCTGGATCGGGCAATAAATGCGACCTGTACTTTGTTTACAAAAATACATGGACAGACGGACGGACGGACAGATGGACGGACATGCATAAATCGATGCAGAATGTGATTCTATGTAGATCATCAAAAGGAACTATGGGTCTATCTCGTTTCCTTCTGCCTGTTACAAACAAATGCACAAAGACATTATACCCTGACCACCTTGTGGTGTAGGGTATAAAAACAGCTAAGTTCCGGGCCGGACCGAACTTTTTTACCCTCCACCATTTGGAAGAATCTTGAAACATTTCAAAAAAATCCGCCAAAAAAATATCGCTCTAATGAAACCAGTTTTATGGGGGCCAAACGAAGACGTGGTCCTGTATAAGTTATGTGTGTCATAGGCTGTAGTAACGGTTTCGAGCTTTATATACAAAATTTGAAACAATTCCGGTGAATAATGTCGCAGAAATCATGAAAATATCGAATATATGGGGGTACCGTTATAAGGGCTCTATACCAAAACGTGGACCTATGTAGACAATTCTTTTCTAGAGGGAAAAGTACTTAAAAGGAACTCCTTGTGTGGATTTCTGATAATTCCGTTGAAAAATGTGGCTACAATCATCAAAATGCCGAATATCGGGAGGTGCCGTTATATGGGGGCTATACGATATCGTGGACCTATATAGATAATTCTGTTCTACGGAATAAACAACTCACAATAAACTCCTTGTATGGATTTCTGACAATTCCGTTGAAAAATGTGGCTATAATCATAAAAATGCCGAATATCGGGAGGTACCGTTATATCAGGGATATTCGAATCGTGGACCCATATAGACAACTCTCTTCCATGACATAAAGTTCTCATAGGGAACTCCTTGTGTGGATTTTTAGACAATTCCATTGAAAGATGTGGCTACAATCATCAAAATACCAAATATCAGGAGGTTCCGTTATATGGGGGATATCCGATATCGATATAGATAATTCTCTCCTATGGGATATAGTATTCAAAAGGAACTCCATGTTTAGAATTTCAGGCACCGTTATGTGGAGGGATATACGATATCGTGTACCTATATAGACAAATCTTTTTCAGGGAGTAAAGTAATCAGAAAGAACTCCTTGTGTAGAATTTCCGACAATTCCGTTGAAAAATATGGCTAAAATCATCAAAATACCGAATATCGGGGCGTACCATTATATGCAGGCTTTACGATATCAAGGACCGATATAGTACACTTTCGAACTTGACCTGCCTACAGACAAAAGACAGATCTATGCAAAATTTTAGCTTCCTATCTTTATTCGTTTTGACTGTAGCGTGAGTACAACATACGTATAGACGGCCGGATGGACTTGATCTGCGTAAAATTCTAAGACGATTTAGCCATGTCCGTCTATCTGTCTGTGTGTCTGTCTGTCTGTCTGTCCGTCTATCTGTCTGTTGTAATCACGCTATCTTTCGAACAAATTGCGATAGAAGGATAAAATGTATATTTTGCCAGTAGGCAGCTTAAGTTCGTAAATGGGCCATGTAGGTCCAAGTTATCATATAGCCCCCATATAACGGTACCTCCCGATATTCGCTATTTTGATGATTTTAGCGACATTATTCACCGGAATTGTTTCAAATTTGGCATTTGAAGTTCGTAATGGATACTACAGCGTAAGATAGAAAATTATCTGTGCAGGTCTACGTCTTCGTGTAGCCCCCATATAACGGTACCCCCCGATATTCGGTATTTTGATGATTTTAGCGACATTGTTTACCGGAATCGTTTCAAATTTAGTATTTGAAATTCGTAATGGATACTACAACCTACGTCAAAAAATGAGCCATGTAGGTCCACGTCTTCATATAGTCCCCATATAACGATACCCCCGATATTCGGTATTTTGATGATTTTAGCGACATTATTTAGCGGAATTGTTCCAAATTTGGTATTTGAAGTTCGTAATGGATACTTCAGCCCATGCCACAAAATTGTCTGTGTAACGTCTACGTATAGCCCCCATATAACGGTACGGTAACGGTTCCCCACAGAAGCTAGAACTCATTGCGAACTACAAAGAACAATTTTTAGACAAATCCGTAAGAAAATATGGCAAAAGTCTTCAAAAAATAGAATATCGGGAGGTACCGTTGTATGGTCAAACGCCATGATTTTTACATTTTTTAAAACATTTGTGAATGAAAGCAAAAAATGTCGGAAATAGCATCAAATTTTAGAATACGTTTATATTTGTTCGATTTGGTCACCTTTGGCACGAATTATGGCCTTCAAACAGCCATGAATCCGTCACACGCTGCCTGAATGTTGCTCTGCGGTATTTTGACCCATTCCCGCCGAAGCACTTGCTTGAGGTGATCGACATTTTGGTATTTTTTAGTGCCAACCTTGCTTTCCAAAATACTCCAGACACAATAGTCCAACGGATTGGTATCCGAAGACTTTGATGCCATTGTGCGCTGGAAATGAAGCGAGGGACCTCAATTTGTAACCATTCTTGGGTGGCGCGTGCTGAGAATGTCCAAGGTCTGCGGCCAAATTGTTTGCGTGACCAAGGCTTTAATACACCCTCCCGAATATTTTCGCGATAATATTTGGCATTTATTCTGATGCCACGGTCGGTACAAGCGGAGAGCGAGCGACCATCGGCTGTTATGGCGGCTTACACCATCACCATGTCCGACGCTTGAGTTCTGGTGGCCAACCGAATTTGCACATTTTAAACTGACTTTTTTGACAAGTAAACACGATCATTTTGTTTGTTTACAAACAGATGAACAACGAATGTTTTCTCATCGGAGAAAACCAAATTCGACAGTTCACCACTTTCATCCAAGCAAAGCAACTCTTTAACTCTTTTGACTCTATTTTCTTTCCGGTGCGCTGTAAGTTCTTGCATTTTTTGGCATTTCAATGGCTTTACCCGGAGCTCATTTTTCAATATTTGCCGAATGGAGTATTGCGATATGTACAGCTCACGAGCCATTTTTCGGCCACTGCGACGAGGGTTTCGATTAATTCGCTTCTTTACTTTTCGAACCATTTCTGCTGATGTTGCTGTTTTCTTCCGTCCACTTTCTTGACGTCGGGCTACGCTACCAGTATGACGGTAACGAGCGATGGTACGAGACACAAAGGATTTATTCAAATTTAAATGCTGGAGTGCTCTAACGATAGCCACTTGTGGTTTTCTAGCCAAATATAAAGAAATCACACTATCACGCTTGAATTCCATCACGAAGAACTTTTTTTCTGGAAAATTCTCGCAAAAATGCCAAATGCGCTGCTGCCGAGCGAGTGGCTTAGAAATGACAGCAGTATGAAGTTGATTACAGTTTTTTCATCTCACCCTGTATACGATATTGTGGACCTAAATAGATCTCTTCCAGGGGTAAAGTAATCATAAAGAACTATTTGTGTTAAAGTTCGGGTTATTCTATTGAAAATTCTGAAATCACCAAAATACCGAGTGAGAGGGTTCCGTTGTATGGTTACTATGTGATATCGTGGAACAATGTAACCCTTCTTCGAACTTGACCTGCCTGCAGACAAAATTTTAACTTTTCGTTGGAGGTCACCCTTTAAAAAGGTATGATACCAAATATGGTAAATATCGTTGAAATTCAATGAATGAATACAGTTATAAGTCTGTCTTTCAGTATTATGGAGTTTAAAGGCGAGACATATACCTTGTCATTTGTTATGAGGTTTGCTGTTAATTAAAGCTTCTTCTTTTTATGACTAAAGTGACGTAGTTGTTTTATGCTGCTAAAAAATATATGCACTGAAATTACTATTTTGAAACGGAAAACCCAAACTTACAGTTCCCGCACACAATAATGGAGTGAATACCCGAACACTTACCTCATCATAAAACTCCATTAAATTCTGTTCATCTTCCAGTGAGAATTTCGGCAACATTACACGAACCAATGTCATGCTAAACTGTGTCTTACTAATATAATCCACCATATCTATATTCTCCAATAGATTATCTTTCAATTCTTCCAGACCGTTTTCTTCTTGCGGCAAAATCACCAGCAGTTTTATTTCATTCAAATGCAATGGTAATTCCAAAACACTGGCATTTAACTCCGACAGAAAAGCATAACGAAAGACGTCGTCTTTACGTAGATTATCCACCAAATATGTGCGATCGCCGGAATCCAATTGATGGAAGGGCCTCTTGCTCGTATCACGTGTTTGAAAATTGAACGTCCAACGTGCTTTCATGGTAATATTTTGTTCGACATAGGTTTCATTTTTAAACTCATGTTTGAGAATGGCTTTCGGCAGATGGGGGTCATCATAGCTGTCGGTTTGGGGGCGAAACCCGTAAATCGATGTGGATTCAAATAGGTCTTTGTATAGCTCGAAGGCGGCAAAGGGAGCTATGGCGAAATTTTCCTCTTCATTGCTGGAATTTAGGGTGTGTTGTATATATTCAAGTGTGAATTCTTTGGATGATATACTGTAGACTTGAGCCGCAATGCTTAGAAGGAAGGCAGCTGAAAATGAAAATGTTTTATTATTATTGCATTTCAATCATGTTATTGTTATTACCTCATTTCGTACTTACCTAATAAGCATATTTTCATTTTTTATTATTTGTGTCTTGTTTTTTTTTTTTTTCTTCCAATAACAAATTGGCACACTCTTACTATCTGTTTGCTTGCTATGTCTGTCCCGCTAGGGTGTCTCTCGATTAATAAACGATTTGTGTTTGTTTCACACTTTTTCTGTGGCGCTTGTTCGAATTCCGGCTTATCAGTTCTACAACGAAACGAACAGATTTTGAACTTGACACGTTGTTTGACTTTATTTTGGTTTTTTGTTTTTTTACAGCCTCTTTTTTTCTTTTTCTTCTGATCGAAAATGTAAAGACAGACAGTGTCATTATCCCATTGATATTGATTGCGTCTAGAAACGTACCCATAAACATATGATTTTATTAGGTCGTACAGTATTGGGGTTTCCGCAGACTCTGATTACACTGGGCAACAAAATTAAAATAATTGCAGAAATAATGCAGTAAATTAGGAAAGTAGAGCAAACCAGTAAAAAGCAGCTAAATTCGGCCGGGCCTAACTTTTATATCTTCCAATATTTTAAAGAAACTTGAACAATTTCTAAAAATTCCGTCGAAAAATACCGCTTAAAGGAAACATGTTATAAGGTGGCTATACGAAGACAAGGTCCACCATATACATTTTTTTATCATAGCTGTAGAACCCATTATTAACTTTAAATACGAAATTCCCGTAAAAAATTCTCTTATATCATCAAAATACCACATAAAGGCTGGTGCCGTTATTTGTGGGCTATTAAACACGTGGGCCTACATAGACAAATTTCCATCTGGGATTGCAGTAACCATTACGAGCTTCAACTACGAAATTTGAAACAATTCCGGTGAATAATGTTCTTTAAATCATCAAAATATCGAATATCGGGAGGTATCATTATATGGGGGGCTATACAAAGACGTGGACCTGAATTCGCAATTTTATATTGTAGTACCCATTACGAACTCTAAATACGAAATTTGAAACCATTCCAGACAAAAATGTCACTAAAATCATAAAAATAGCAAATATGGGGGGGGGGGTGTAACTATATCGTATTTTAATGCTGTAATGCTGGGTACTTCAACTTTTATGGGTACGTAATGGGTACTTCAACTATTTAAAATTGCATACGTAGGTCCACATCTTCCTTTAGCCCACATATTACGGCATTGTTTCAAAGACAGAAAGACGGACATCACTAAATCGACTTAGAATTTTACGCTGATCAAGAATATATATACTTTCTTGGGTTTGACATGAGTATTTCGAGGAGTTACAAACGGAATGACAAAGTTAATATACCCTGCATAGTATGGTGGAGGATATAAAAAAGAATCTATTAAAAATTCTGTGAAAATCTTATAAATGAATAATATAAATATATACCGTTATTTTAGGGTCTATATGAAGTCGTGGAACCGCTTAGGCAATTTTCTGTCAAACCATTAAGAACTTCATATAGGAAATGTGAAACATATCCGGTCAATAATGTCGCCGAAATAATAAATATACAGAATATAGGGAGGTACCGTTATATGGGGGCTATAGGATGACTTCGACTTGCATATGCAATTTTCTGTCGTAGAGTGCTCTACCTATTTGGAACTTCAAATACGAAATTTGAAACAATTCTGGTAAATGGGGAGGTACCGTCATATGGGGACTATACGAAGACGTAAACCTGCACAGACATTTTTCTATCATAGGCTATAGAGTCCATTACAAGCTTCAAATACCAAATTCTAAACAATTCCGGTGTATAAAGTCGCTAAAATACCGAATATATGGAGGTACCGTTATATGGGGGCTATACGAAGACGGGGACCTGCACAGATAATCTCCTGTCGTAGGCTGTAGTATCCATTTTGAACTTCAAATACCAAATTTGAAACAATTCCGATGAATAATTTCGCTAAAATCATCAAAATACCGAATATCGGGAGGTACCGTTATATGGAGGCCATACCAACACGTGGACCTATATACCCCATTTTCAACACCAAAAGTCCTGCAGACGAAACAAACATTTGAGTAAAATTTTATCAACCTACATGGGTCAAATCCCAGAAGATGACCTGAGAGACATTCTTTGAGATTAATGAACAACTCTACTATAGTGGACGCAGCCATACTATGATGGGGGTATAAAAATATATAATATAAGCTTAAACGTAAATGTCCATGCTGATGGCTTTAAAAAGGTGGTCGATTGGTTCATCTGGCAAACCTTTTAATGTACAAAACAAATCACCTTCTTGATTGCGAATTCGATTCAATTATTTGGTCTACATCAATGAGTAATGGCAAACATGTACCGAAATGGGAGGGTCTTCGTGCTAACCAAAAAACAAGAAACTCATCATCATAATCTTCATTATCATTAACGTAATCACCCTGGCACTTCCGACAATTGATTTTTCTGTGGCATTTTTTTGTGGCTGCCCTCTACATCTTAATATCCCTGCCAGACAGGGAGGGGGGAGGTGAGAAAAAAAGATTTATCTGGATTGCCTTTTGAACTTTTTTCTGGCAGCTCATTATATATGAACTGGTGTTAACTAGAAATTCGTCCAACGCTTAATGCTGTCTTCCTCCACATCTCAGCTTTTTGCCCTCTCTTCCTTTTTTTTTTTTTTTTTTTTTTTGGTTAAATGTCAGGTTTCCCAATAGGAAGTGAATTCTTTGGCTGTGGCTTCTTCAACGAGTTTTACGTCTTCGTCGTATTCTCTCTCCTTTCCCAACAAATAAAAAGGAAGTGCCTCATTAAGTGTTCCTTAATGATGTCTCCTTGCTGGATGATGTGCATTGCTGCTGCTGTATAAACGAGAATTGTAAGCTTTTAGTTTTGTTCCGCTTCATGTTTCAGAATTGTGTCTTTAGGTTTTTATTTTCATTTTTTCGCCATTCAGAAGGAAATTCGTAGCTTGGCCAACAAGACATGCAATTTAGAGAATCAAAGCAGAATTCGTCCTTTTTTATTCCTTGCTTTTCTTCATTACAGTCAACAACCATTCGACCAAGTTTCAATGGAAGAAAGCAAAAGGTGTGCACCAGAAAATGCCACTTGAATTGGTAAAAAGCTTCCATCCATTCCACATATGTACATGTGATTGCGTTCTACGTATAATGTTTACTCATACGCTTAAACGTCGTACTTTGGTGAGTACCAAGACACTCAGAGCTGGGGCAAGGGTGGGATGTGCGTCTGTATACAAAGTAATACGTGTTGGTTATACCAAATTAAGGTAAATTGTTATTTAAGGATAACTGGGTGAACACAGGACAGGTGTATGAGGTGTTCCATGTGGTAATTGGATTAGAAATCAAGGCTACGGAGTTTCCATAGCCAAAACGATTATTTTCGCGATCTATGAAAAGAAAAACCCATGTTGATTTTTATTGGCTTCCTGTGGGTCTTTTATTCTGAGGGAGGAAGGAAGGACATTATATGAAAACCAGTAAGGAAAGCTCAAAAGTCGGGCGGGGCCGACTATATGATACCCTACACCACTATACATATTTAGTAGAGCTCTCGTAAAAAGGTTTATACAGGGCATTTCAGAGCTCTATGAGATATTTGGTACAAAATCAAAATCTATCTAATTCTATAGCTATCTCTGAACCGGGTTTCTCCAAATTTTACGTATTAGCTTCTAGACTGAATTCGGTCTTATGTACGAAAATTCAGGTGATTTGGGCTGATATTGACCATTTAGTGCACATTTAACCCGAAATCGGATGAAGATATATATGGGAGCTATATCCAAATCTGAACCGATTTCGATAAAATTTAAAACAGCTGTTCCTGTGCTCCATCTAATACCTGGTACCAAATATCACGGTTGTGGAGTGAATATTACGAATGTAAGGGACTAAAACACTAAATCGGATGAAACATATATATGGTTGCTATATCTATATCTGAACCGATTTTCACTAAATTTGACATACTTGCTTCTAGGCTGAATTTGGTCCGATGTACTAAAATTCAGTCCATTTGGACTTATATCGGCCATTTGATACACAATTAACCCGAAATCGGATGAAGATATATATGGGAGCTATATCCAAATCTGAACCGATTTCGATAAAATTTAAAACAGCTATTTCTGTGCTCCATCTAATACCTGGTACCAAATATCACGGTTGTGGAGTGAATATTACGAATGTATGGGACTAAAACACTAAATCGGATGAAACATATATATGGTTGCTATATCTATATCTGAACCGATTTTCACTAAATTTGACATACTTGCTTCTAGGCTGAATTTGGTCCGATGTACTAAAATTCAGTCCATTTGGACTTATATCGGCCATTTGATGCACAATTAACCCGAAATCGGTTGAAGATATATATGGGAGCTATATCCAAATCTGAACCGATTTCGATAAAATTACAAACAGCTAATTCTGGGCTGTATCTTATATCTGGTACCAAATATCATTCTTGTGCAGCGCATATTACGAATGTGAGAGGCTTAAACACCAAATCGGATAAAACATATATATGGGAGCTATAGCTGTTTCTGAACCGATTTTCTCCAAATTTGTTGTATTTGCTTTAAGGCTAATCTCGGTCACATGTGCCAAAATTCGGGCGATTTGGGCTGATATTGGCCATTTGGTGGTCAATTAACCCGAAATCGGATGAAGATATATATGGGAGCTATATCCAAATCTGAACCGATTTCGATAAAATTTAAAACAGCTATTTCTGTGCTCCATCTAATACCTGGTACCAAATATCACGGTTGTGGAGTGCATAGTAGGAATGTTAGGGACTTAAAGATCAAATCGGATGAAAGATATATATGTGAGCTATAGCTATATCTGAACCGATTTTCTCCAAATTTAATATACTTGCTTCTAGGCCGAACTCGGTTGGGTTTGCCAAAATTCAGGTAATTTGGACTGATAGTGGACATTAGGTGCTCATTTAACCCGAAATCGGATGAAGATATATATGGTAGCTATATCTAAATTTGATCCGATTCTCACCAATTTCAATAGGGTTCGTCCTTGGGCCAAAAAAAATGTTGTTTGGAAAATTTCATCCCAATCGGATAATAAATGCGACCTGCATTTTGTTTACAAGAATACATGGACAGACGGACAGACGGACGGACATGCATAAATCGACTCAGAAAGTGATTCTATGAAGGTTCTCAAAAGTAACTATGGGTCTATCTCGTTTCCTTCTCC